ATTTAGTTAGCACTGATCAAAGAACGGAGAAGATTCCGTAAAGTATTGTAGTTATATTTATATATATAGGTATATTATAGCTAATATATTTAAATATATATGATAAAAATGTAACTGATCGCTGTCTGTATATGGAAGATGCATAAGAAAAATTGTTAAAAAAATGCTTAATAGGATGTCATTTTTTTATACTACGACGGTGGCAAACAAGAATACGGTCCTTCTGATGGTAAATGGTCACCGTAGCCTATGGACGCCTGAGTACAGACCACCACCAAAAGTCATGCCCCTTATCCTGTAACTTTGTTGCTTATCTCACACATTGACCGCAACTTTAATTTTGTATCAATTACACACATCTGTTTGCCCTATGGTTGACTAGGAGAAAATGTCTCTAGGTGTTAAGTCCGCCATGTGTACCTTTATTTGTATGTCTTTGCATTCAAATTATAATAAATAATAAAATAAAAAAATATATCTTGACTTACTCCGCACACTAAAAAAGTCCGGTACATACTAGTGTTTTTACCACTTACCATCACATTGGCCTTCAGTTCGTTTGCCCTTTTGTACTTTAAGAGTAGGTGTGCGAATTATTTTTTTATATTCTGTAGGTAACAAACCATTTTGTTATTGTCACAAGTTTCTTGGAAAAAAGTTAATAAGTAAAATCTGTTTATATAATCAATTTATATCATAAATTGGTTGTCACTCTCTGTAGAGAAATAATAAAAATTTTACCTTATTTACAATTTATTGAGCCAGTCTATTGTTAATAGTGGTTTAGTACATCGTCTTACTTCCGATGGTCGCAGGTTTGATTCTTCGCACAATACAAACATTTGTATTCATGAGTGTGATTTTTTGTAGTTTTGGGTGTTTTTTATGTAAATATATTATATATGTATTTACAAATAAAAATGTAGGGTAAGTATTTCTATCAGTTGTCTAGTATAAGAAATGTATATAAGCTTTTTTAACACATATTCAACATAACACAAGCTCTGCTTAGCTTGGGACTACATGGCGTTGTGCAAATTGTCCATCGTTGTTATTATTATAATGAAACTTTGTAGAAAGTCAGCTATATATCAAATTCATCTCAAGGAATGTGCTTTGTAAGAATGTGTTTCCGGTTCAAAAAGAAAATAAGGCAGTGAAATTAAAGACTAAGGCATGACACCTTAGTCTTTTGTAATGGTAAGGCTTCCACCGATCGATCCCCTGTCCAACTGAAACGGGGATCGCAATTACAACGGCCTGAGCCGAGGTTCATACCCCTGGCGGTGCCTTCAGACTAAAGTACTATCCGTCAGGGAGGAGTTGGCCTTCAGCTGTTCTATAAGTCCTTTCGCAGGTTTGGAGTGCCATCTGCACTCGCCTCTATCGTCCGGTGAAGCTGTAAAGACCATCTGCGGCCAACAGCATTAGTCCGAAAAAAAAGTAATGGTAAGGCATGAGTGGTAGCACTATTGTCGCATTATAACACGATGTTTTTATTGAGTTTAATTCAACGTAATAACTAAACCACGACCTTCTCAATAATCAGAATATTTACCAAATCAGATAATATACACAGACATGTACACAATAATCAAATACATATATTTAAACCCCAATATATTTACGTATTTACATCTGACAGTGTCATTTCAGTTGATAAATAACATTACGCAGTCCACTGAAGCTGAAAATTGTTCCGAGGGAACTGGTTTCATTTGCAAATAATCTTTCCATTTTATATATAGTATGGACAGATCCGAATTGACGAACTATTGTTTATTTTGTGTCGTTATTAATTTATAATCTTAATTAGCGATCCGTACCGGCTTTATTACAAATCTTAAAATATCTCGGCTTTTTCTATAATAATAATAACACACTATCCTCAAGATATTACAACTTCACCCACTTACTTTCATCCTTCTCCAAAAAGCTGTAATATTAGACACTTGTAGAATAGTCCGCAAATTTTTGTCTTCCACTTAAAAATTATCCATCCTCATCATTCATAATTTATACTATCATTGTTTGGTGATTTTTACCCGCAATGATCAGTCTATTACCCCATCAAAGGAAGATATATAATATATATATATAAAACTGCCCAAAAAAATAACCAAAAAACCAGCAAAAGCTGAGGAAAAAAAAAATAATAATATGTAATTTATTTGCCTACAACACGCATGTATTATACATGAAAACCTTTCTCTTGAATCACTCTATCTATTTCTGAACACTGCAATAAAATCCGTTTTGATGCGTTGAATTGAACATACATATTGATGGACAAATGTGCATAAGCACTGGTTTTTAGTTTGTACCTACGTGGGCGTAACAAACCTGAAGTTTTGTAGTTACATATATACTTGTAGTGATACTTATTAAAATAGCCAGACATGTGGCAGCATGGTGTCATTGGGCTCTCTAAAATATGGTCGAGCGCAGTGATAACTTGCTCATCCGTCATACATAACAGCTAGTATAGTGGGCTACAACCACATAAGATGTGTAGTGGCGTTTCCTGCTGGCAGACGTCTTAAAAAAATGTCCAGACATGTGGCGGCGTCATTGGGCTCCCTAAAATATGGTCGATCGCAGTGATGGCTGGCTCATCCATCATACTAGTGAATGAGTGCTGCTTGTAGGGACTGGTCTGCACTAATCATTACGACTGATTTAATCTTATTGTGTATTTAATATTTGTAGTGTTAGTTGGTAGTTTGTATTCATAGGTTTCTATAAAAAATGTAAAGTTACAAATATTTAAAGAGCTACACGCAAATGTCTTGCTCATTTTTCTTGTGATGGGACAGCTTTCCGAAAGGCCGGTAGATTACAAGAAGAATAACTATGTCTATTCAAAAGTGCTTAAATTATTTTTATTTTAATAAAAGATTTTCTATTCTATTCTATTTATATACGCTGGACATCCACACCACAATACAACTAAATAAAGTTTTATTGCAAATAAATAAAGTTTGTTATTCTGTGAAGTTATTTTTAGATCTTTGTTACCGGATTATATTCTGGAGGGTAAACGAATTTACTCAGAATTTACATAAATAGTACATTAGTGGGTACAATACTTATTCTGTGTATTTATTTATTTATAACTTTAATTAAGAGAGTATATACTGTTAAAGAATTACTTTCTGATATGGTTTTCATTATCATACACATATGTGAGCTGCCCCACTAGTAATAATAATAACTCAGGACAATTTTCAAAGGTCCATCTAGACCTAAGCAAAGCAGAGCTTGTGATAGATAGATAAAACATTTATTGGTCTCATTAAACAAAAATATAAAGAATACACAAAATAAGAAAAGAAAAAGGAGCTGCCTCAGCTGTTGCCGATATAAGCACAAGCTCAATGTATGAGCTGTATAGTGCTACTATACAGCCCTGATTTTCAGGTAGCCCCCATTACGTTATTGCTTGACAACGGATACATATATTTATGTACATTTTATTACATAAGAAAACACCTAGACCAATACAATTATACTTATGAATACAAATGCTTGCAAGACCCTACGAGGAATCGAATCCGCGACCTTCTGAAGTGCTAAAACCGCTAGACATAGTAATACAACATAAAATGCAAAAAACAAAAAACCCGCATACGTGATGACGTAATGTCCCTAAATTCCTACATTACTTTAAAAACCCTTGTTTCCAACACAATCATGCACCAATCGAAACCCTCCCTCGCGGATATTAAGAGTCAATTTCCCTTAAAACATCCCCAAGAGACGAACAATATATTGAAATGGGATTTTGTTTCAAGATTTCATTCGTTGGGAATACAAAGGGTAGGTGAAATATTGCTGAGTAAATGCGATGGGACGGCTTCCTCGCTTTTTCTCAAGCAACCGTACACTGTAATTTAGGCCGTCTGTGTATAATATTGTAAGTTTTGAAATGCAAATAACGAGTTCTTTCATAATTGTATATTACTGAATGCAGTAGATATATAATGTCATGAAAATAATACCAGTGCTCAATAATATTGGAGATTAAAGAGTAGTCTTAAAGATGATAATAAAATGTAAAATATTGAGCACTACTGCTGGAAAATCTTGAACACTGATACGAGTATCGTTAGAGAAAAAACGATTTTCGAATTTGTGCCAATTTTCGTTGTATTCCATAGGACTGGCAAATAACGAGTTCTTTCCTAATTGTATATTACTGAAGCCAGTAGATATAGAATGTTATGAAAATACCAGTGCTCAATAATATTGGAGATTAAAGAGTAGTCTTAAAGATGATAATAAAATGTAAAATATTGAGCATTACTGCTGGAAAATCTTAAACACTGATACGAGTATCGTTAGAGAAAAAATGATCTTCGAATTTGTGCCAATTTTCGTTGTATTCCATAGAGGACTGGCAAATAACGAGTTCTTTCCTAATTGTATATTACTGAAGCCAGTAGATATAGAATGTTATGAAAATACCAGTGCTCAATAATATTGGAGATTAAAGAGTAGTCTTAAAGATGATAATAAAATGTAAAATATTGAGCATTACTGCTGGAAAATCTTAAACACTGATACGAGTATCGTTAGAGAAAAAATGATCTTCGAATTTGTGCCAATTTTCGTTGTATTCCATAGGACTGGGAAATAACGAGTTCTTTCCTAATTGTATATTACTGAAGCCAGTAGATATAGAATGTTATGAAAATACCAGTGCTCAATAATATTGGAGATTAAAGAGTAGTCTTAAAGATGATAATAAAATGTAAAATATTGAGCATTACTGCTGGAGAATCTTAAACACTGATACGAGTATCGTTAGAGAAAAAACGATTTTCGAATTTGTGCCAATTTTCGTTGTATTCCATAGGACTGGCATATATTTGTAGTTCGTAGAAATTGATGCTGGAATTGTGTCACAACGCGAGCTTCTAAGCGCTCGTGTCCCAAGTCCTCAACAATATGCTGCTACTTTTATAGGTAAAGGAAGACTACTGGCCGGAGTTGTGTACCATCCGGCCCGCCGGCGCCGCTATCGTGGTAAATTGCCATAGTGATCGTGGTAACCACAAAGTGTAGATTAATATTTTATTTTATGTTTTATTGTTTTTTATGTATGTTAAATCTTAAGGTACATGTAATATGAGTAAATATTGTTATAAAATTATATTATTTATTAATTTCAGGCTACTCGCCTCATATTATAAATACCTTATATACTGCTCTATACATCTCACTAATATTACAAATATGATAATAACGCGAATGTTTGTGAGTATAGATGGATGTTTGTTACTCTTTCACGCAAAAAATACTGAACGGATTTTGATGAAACTTTACAGCAATATAGCTTATATACCGGAATAACATATGGGCTATAATTTCAAAAGATATTATGTAAATTGGCCGTAATATAATGATAAATATCGAGTAAATTTTATGCAGGCAAAGTTGCGCGTGTCAGCTAGTATGGATTAATATTATAATACCACAGATAACATATGATAATACTAATATATTGAAATTGACTCTTTGGTCACTGCACTAACAACGGCAATCTGACGGGGTAGTGCCGATGCACTGCACCCTTCGGCCAGTAGTCTTCCTTCATGAAGGTGGGCAGTATATTGGTGGGGACCTGGGCCACAAACGTCTTGAAACTCGCGTTGTGACTCGACGACAGTTATGTCACTCTCAATGTCAGTTTACTCCTGGTCCGTATGTAGGCAACAATGTTATGGTCGACAATGATATACTTTCGTGTTTAATATACATTATTTAAATTATTAACCGGGTCTTAACACGAATAATTTTATGGCAAATAAAGGTATTTACCTCTCTCGACGTTTCGACTAGGTTGCACTAGAAAAAACTGCTGTCACCTATCTACATTGACATAGCTGTTACTCCAGTCAGCTCGTGACCACGGCTAGTGCAACCTAGTCGAAACGTCAAGAGAGGTAAATACCTTTAAATGCCATAAAATTATTCGTGTTTAAATAATGATATACTGCCTGAAATAAATAAAAACATAAACGTCCCTAAAAATCAAAGAATTAAAATATAAAATGATGGAATCCAAACAAGATATTTCATCTAATTAACAGTTTCCTATAAGAATCCTTACAAGTTTCAAGTCGTTTAACGGAAGTTAATTTTAGCAATTCACAAATTAAACACAATTTACTTATGAATAGCTAATATGGTTTATTGGAAATTGGTTTGGGTATAGTAGTAAAGTAACCCTGCTTTAGACTTCAGTTATAATGTTTTTGGTATGTTTCTTTGATACTGTTTAGCGTAACTATAATTTATTTTATGCTGGCTGTGGGAACTGGTCTGTTCAGGTTGCGAACACTGATTGAATTTTTGTTTTTTGAAATATCATATGCTGTTGGTCATATTTCTCTATTATCTTCCAAATTTGAATTTTAACGACTGTGTATTATTGTAAACATGTTTTTTTTTTTCAGGACAATTCACACAGCGCCATCTAGACCCCAGTTAAGCTAGCTAGAGCTTGTGTTTTGGGTACTAGATAACTGATATATATACATAGATATTTTTTTGTAAATACATACATATATACATACGTATATTATGCATAGAAAACACCCAGACCGATACAAACAATCATACTCATGGATACAAATGTTTGTGCCGTGCGAGGAATCGAACCCGCGACCATCGGTCGTAAAGCGGTGTGACCACCAAGGTCGTCAATTTAAATGTTTTTGCCGTGAACAGGATGTTCAAAACAGTTTCGAAATATTGGTAGCTCTGAAATAATAATATCAAGATGTGGAACTCAAATTAACATGGTACATTGCTAGCAATAAGATCATCAGTACACATTACTAACAATCCTTTTGCCCATGTTAGGTTGACCTCCACGTTTTTCCCCGTGTTTCGTGTTTTGGAAACCATCGTGATAAATTCACAGTAAATTTACTACGATGAGCTAAAGCTGACCTGACCTCATGTTCATCTTATCATCCTCCACTGGTGCCCCGCCAGCGTAATCCGTTAGCGCAGGCGGGTACACCATTCCATTATAACCTACTATATAAGATCCTTTACTTTTATGGTTATTTTTATTATTACTGTATAATAATAAAAATACAACAATTTTCACAGTACAGCCTGTCTCGAGAGAAAAATGAGCAGGGAACAATTTATCATAGCGTATTTTGGAACTGTGATTTGTTTTCTTCACGGACTGGCATACCTAGTTCATATTTGCTCTTTATTTTTGAATATATCTCTATCTACTTATATATGTATATATATATATATATACAAAATTTAGGTAATTTATTTAAGCTTTGTCCATGCTATGCCTAATGCCATTGACATTTCGGAGGAGTAAAGACTGGCCATATCATTTAAACTGCCATATCTCATTCTTCAACGAAAAAATCTCAATTTGTTTGATATATTATGTAGATGAGACAAAAGTACCTATGCACGCTACCCTGTCTGTGAAGATCTAGGGATAGGGATAACAAATATAACTAAAGAACAACCTTGGAAATGTTTAAAACAAACTTTACCTCCTTATATTAAGAAGACGCACAACTCGTCCGTTCCATTCGCCGGCTGCTCGTATAATGCCCTTTTTGTCCGAATCACTGTTCATAAGCCGCCATCTTTTGCTTCACTACTCTCGAAAATCCCAACGTGATAGCAGATAGCACTTATAATATGAGTACAGATTTCTCCACTTTCATATATTACCCGGTAGTAATATAGAAACGTAGTTTGGAAAGCGAGTCCGTAAAGATAATATCAGTGACGATGTATCCCTTTCATAAAAAGTCATCGTCTTCCTAACACGTAAATATCCCAATAAATTGTATGGAAACGCAAACAATTTCATAGAAGAATAGTTTAGGTGTTCCCTTTCCTTCGTATCGTTAAAGTTGTTTGTTACACAATTTTCTTTCACTTAATTTAGTGATCCAATCTTATTGTCTATTTTTTTTTATTACTACATGTGTCCGCAGTTCACCCACTTGAAATTTATAGCCTGTATGTCATTATAATATATAAGCGATATTATGCAAAGTTTTATTATAATCTATTTAGTAGTTTTGATTTGAAAGAGTAACAAACATCCATCCATCCAAACTTACAAACTTACATAGTTATAATATTAGTAAGATCTATTCCTTTATTACTTTGATTTAACTGGTCACTCCTGGTTACGAAAACAGTTTAAGATCCTTATTTGAAAAGAATATGTGCTGAGTTTCTTGTTAGTTCTTCTTATCTCGAAAGAACTGACGGTAGGTTTGACATAACCTAAGTTTGTAATAGACCTATAGAATAAAGATATTTTTAATTTGAATTTGAATTTCCTTATAAGGACCTCGGCTGGTAGGTGGCGTATATTAAATGTTTTCATTTTTAAATATTTCAACCCTTCAGTATTAGATAGAGATATTGGTTTGCGAGTAAACTGCAGTCTATTTGTAAATTAATAAATCTTTAAACACGACACTCTGCAGCTGTGATTGCAGGAATAGTAAAAAAAGGCATCGTTCATTAAAAAGTAATCTACGAGATTGGTCGGAAACAAGTCCACTCCACCCCGAGGTAGGGTGCAAAATTAAAAAGTTACAATCTAAGCGTGACACTAACTTTTTTTGTAACTTTTCAATTTATCCGAGTAAATTCATTTACGCTGCGAGACGAACAGATTCTCTTCTTTATTTGTCTTACTTCCGATGGTCGCTGGTTCGATTCCTCGCACGGTACAAAATTTTGTATTCCAGAGTATGATTATTTGTATCGGTATGCCTGTTTTCTATGAATATTACGTATTTATCTGTTGTCTATTATCCCTAATATATCTATAATAATATAATAATATAATATATCTATAATATCTCCCTCCTCTTTTTTCCTCGACTGGCAACATTACCGATAACTGTCTTTGTCAGCTGGCCCTAATAATTAAATACTTTTATCTAATTTATTACTCAATTTTTTTAGTGTAATTGATATAATTAGTGAGTTTAAGCTATAAAAAGTATCGATTGTTGTTTGTGTTCATTTTTATATAGTATTTGTGTACAAAAATCGACACATAAATATTTCTTACCGGTCAACTGTCAAAGTTCGTAATAAACTTATATTTACATCAATCTTGTACATGTTATCGCGTAATTCAATTTAAATTATTATAACATTCCTTTATTATTACTTATTTTGTGTTACATGTTAATATTGTGGTAATTTTAAAAGTGAATTCAAGTTGTGCGTCGAGGAAAAAAAATAATTACCCACTAACCAAATATTGTAAGTACTAACTGAAATATAATTAATTCTTACATTAAAATACACAACAAGAGAGTGAAACTTTCACTAATTTAAATAGTTATTTATATATATTTCAATAACAATACTGAATCTTCTAGAATTGGTTGTTTTTAATTCTATTATTTGAGCTTGTGTAATACCCCAAGAAACCCATTCTTACAAGTAATAATATTTAGTATTGTTATTTATAATTAACAAATTTACTAAAATTACTTACATATTACATATTACATAGGTATTATATATTTATAAATAAATAAATTGTAAGGAAATAGCACACATTCTAAATTCCATTAAGTTCCTTTATATTTAAATTAATTACTCAGCATATTTAATAATGATGTCCCGAAGAGCCTGTGATCTTGATGCTAAACTTAAGGTGGCACTCGTTGAATTAAAGAAAACCCAAGACTTGAATAAAGTGTTGTTACAGGAACGGGATGATAGTGAAATAGAGATGAAATCTCTATTTGACAAATATGTGGCCCTGAAGGGGGAACTTGTAGACATTAATGTGTTCTGTGAGGACCTACGCGTTGACAGGGATAGACTTCAGGAACTTGTTAATGAATATGATCACTGCAGGGACACATATGAGTCAAATTTACAGCGTATCACTCACCTCGAGAGACACCTTGAGGAAGCACAAGCACATAGTGAATCTATGTTGGAACACAAACGGGTGAGTAGCTATAATAACACCTTAGATCTGTATACAGAATTGGTAA